CTGTCTTTCACCTATCCTTTTATGTCTGTCTGTCATCTGTCATTTGATGTCTGTCTGTCTGTCATCTGTCATTTGATGTCTGCCTGTCTTTCACCTATCCTTTTATGTCTGTCTGTCATCTGTCATTTGATGTCTGTCTGTCTGTCGTCTGTCATTTGATGTCTCTGTGTCTGTCTTTCTGTCTTTCATTTATCATTTGATGTCTGTCTGTCTTTCATCTGTCATTTGATGTCTGTCTGTCTGTCATCTGATGTCTCTGTGTCTGTCTTTCTGTCTGTCATTTATCATTTGATGTCTGTCTTTCATCTGTCCTTTGATGTCTCTGTGTCTGTCTTTCTGTCTTTCATCTATCCTTTTATGTCTGTCTGTCATCTGTCATTTGATGTCTGTCTGTCTTTCATCTGTCATTTGATGTCTGTCTGTCTGTCATCTGATGTCTCTGTATCTGTCTTTCTGTCTTTCACCTATCCTTTTATGTCTGTCTGTCATCTGTCATTTGATGTCTCTGTCTGTCTTTCTGTCTTTCATCTGTCATTTGATGTCTGTCTGTCTTTCTCTCTCATTTGATGTCTGTGTCTGTCTTTCACCTATCCTTTTATGTTTGTCTGTCTTTCATCTATCATTTGATGTCTCCGTGTCTGTCTGTCTTTCATCTGTCATTTGATGTCTGTCTGTCTGTCATCTGATGTCTCTGTATCTGTCTTTCTGTCTTTCACCTATCCTTTTATGTCTGTCTGTCATCTGTCATTTGATGTCTGTCTGTCTTTCATCTGTCATTTGATGTCTGTCTGTCTGTCATCTGATGTCTCTGTATCTGTCTTTCTGTCTGTCATCTGTCATTTGATGTCTCTGTGTCTGTCTTTCTGTCTTTCATCTATCATTTGATGTCTGTCTGTCTGTCATGTCATTTGATGTCTGTCTGTCTTTCTCTCTCATTTGATGTCTGTGTCTGTCTTTCACCTATCCTTTTATGTCTGTCTGTCTTTCATCTATCATTTGATGTCTCCGTGTCTGTCTGTCTTTCACCTATCCTTTTATGTCTGTCTGTCTTTCACCTGTCATTTGATGTCTCTGCGTCTGTCTGTCTGTCTGTCATCTTTCATTTTACGTAGCTTTTACGACGTTGCGACCCGTGTGACGGCCCCTCATCCCTACGTCGCTTTTACGGAACGGCAAAATAAAATAAAAAAAACCCCGAAAGCTCCCCACGATAAGAAGCCGGGCCGGGTACAGTTGATCCAAACGGACGAGAAATATTTTATTTGGTTTTATAAATTTCTTCCTGTGGCCCTCAAGGTGGGAGAGGTCGTAAAAGTCAAGATGGCGCCGATGCAGCTTCAAAGGGGCCGGAGCGTTCGACGTGGCTGCCATCTTGATTCACGAGGCTCCGAGGACGAGACGATCAAGCGTTGGAGGCCGTGATTCTCGGGCTCGGCCACTTTCAGAGGGGTGGACTACAACGCCCAGGATTCCCCAGCCGGCACGCTTTGAGAGGAGTGGACTACAACTCCCAGGATTCCTGAGCCAGCAAGGGATGTTGAAGTCCTCCCCCCTTAAAGCCTGCCAACTGGGGGATTCTGGGAGTTGAAGTCCACTCCTCTTAAA